GCCTAAGTTTGTTCTTCGTGACAAACAATGTGAAGCCTACAGCTTAAGGGAAAATATGCAAAAAGCCACAGGGTCACATTGTTTTTCTGAAAATAACCTTCATTTTGTAATACAAGTATTTTAACATATTTACTTTTAAAACAGTTTAAAAACTCTGTTTACTATTACTTGGTTACATTCCTGTATTTTCCTATAAAGCCAAATTTGTAAAAACTGAAGGAAGAGTTTTTGCTTGGTGGTGGGCAAGCTGGAGATACAAAAAAGACAACTTACTATGAATAAAAAACCCTAAAAGTAATTTGTTTTTTGTCATGAAAGTCATGGCAATGACTAATACACAGCCTTACAAATTAGCTGGAAGGCCCTATTTACTGGTCAGGTCACTGTGGTGTGTGTTCTTGCTAATATTTGTTATAAATCAGTGAAGATAGTTTTATAAAACTGCTGTTTACTGGGGGCCCTGTCTACTTTTGACTTGTAACCATATTGACCAGAACAGTGTATTTAAAAACAGTTTTTTAACACAGTCCTGCCTGAACATGGTTCAATGTATCCACTTTATAGCAATACCTATAAAACCATGCTACAACAGTGTTGGTACATTCATAGTGAGAACATTTGAGAACTGTTTGTAGTTGTATGTTTTGTGACTTCTGTCCAATGATATCAAAGCAGCCATGAACTCTGGATTGACAACTGAGTTGGAAATTGTGAGTAATACAGATGTTAACACTGTGTGCATCTGTACTACTGGAAGTGATAGGCCAACTGGTATTCTTTAAATTACTCCATTCTGTAGCACTGGCCTCTTTTCAGATTTGTTAACTGTGTACTATAGACAAGAATAGACGTCTGCTGCAGTTGGTCTCTTTTGATTGAGTGAACCCTGAGTTACTGTATCATGTAGCATCTTCTAATTCAGAATGCTCTTAAGACACTGAACCACTTCTCATTCATCAAAATATGAGCTGATAAAACTCAAAGCTTTCCTGGCCGCGTATATTTGCTTACCAACAATAGGGAGCTAGCTAGCTTTCGAAATAAAATATGTGCACATGCTAAATATTTCTATCTTCACACATGGAGGAATAAGGCAAGTTAGTTTTTGTGAAAATGATTGTTGCTGTAAAATAGGCAAAATAGATTCTGGAGATATTTCTTTGAATGAGATTTCTTTCCAACTATGAGGTACAAGTAACTGAAGGTATAATCTGACCAGAAGAAATGTGCTGAAATACATGCCAATTTTTGTAAATGCTTCTCCATGTCGTGGAAGAGGAAAATTCCTGTATTTGTTAGTTTTACGAGAGATAATACAACTTGTAAACACACAATATGTCTCCCCTTCACTCTCTATATAGTTTGGTTTTGTTATCCTTGTCTTCAGGCAGAAGCAGCTAAAGTGATTCCAATGGGTTTCATCACAGCAACAGAGTTCCACCAGCGGAGGTCCGAGATCATCCAGATCACCACTGGATCCAAAGAACTTGATAAACTGCTTCAAGGTGTTAATTCTACTTATCATCTTTGTGCATTGTTTTAGATAGCTCTCCTGTCACTTCTCGAAATCATAAACCCCACATGAGAAGTGCATGGTCTAAGGATTTTTCTGCTAACTGCACTGGAATCTCCTTAGCACTGCTTTGCCTTATAATGATCAATTGCACGCAGCTAGCACCTGCAGAGAAGGCTGCAGGAGAAGTTCCAATAGGAAAGGAACTTCACTGGATGTGGGAGGACACAAAGACACAGTTTTACATTTTAAATACATTTCCTGTTATTGACTATTACTAAAGTTTTATTGAGAAACAGAAGCAAGTAATTTGCTTCTCCCTAATCCCCTCCCTTTTCTCCCCCCGCCTACATGAGAAATGCGAAGTAGAATGGTGTTCCCCTTAACTTAGCTAACCTGTTCTCACAAGAACTCTGTTATCTGGCCTTCTTATCCACAACATGCACAAACCCAGGTACCCAGAACTGTTGTCATAATTAATTAGTTAATTGAGCTTTGAAATGTAAGTGATCACTTCTAAAGCAAAGCTACGCAGATACAGAAAACATATGTGACAGACAAGTCCCCATAACTCTGAAATGATATGCTTGTGTTGTGCATTTATAGCCTATGATGTTAATATAAGTGTGATTGTTTTTTCTTTTCCAGGGGGAATAGAAACAGGGTCCATAACTGAGATGTTTGGGGAATTCCGCACTGGGAAGACACAGTTGTGTCACACCCTGGCAGTAACCTGTCAAGTGAGTGGTTGGTCATTTTATTAAAATCAAATATGTATTTAGAAAAAAACTGAGTCCTTGCTAATCAAAGTACCTTTCTCACTCATGCAAATAAACATGCAGCTAAAAAGGTAGTGCAAAAAATCTGTAGTCACATATACTGTACAGCAGAGACCATCCAGACTTTGCGACACCATGAACTGAATTGGCAACTTGCTAGGATCTCGTGTACCAGGCTTACTCTGCTTGTAGGGGTAACTTTAGTAGAGATTCGATATATTTAAAAAGAAACCTGTGATAGATATCAAGCATGGAAATAAAAACCAAATTATGTTAAGTAGAACTACAGAAATAATAAATGGTACTCAGGAAGCTAGTTGTTGCCTTGCTTTGGTTCTTTGGGGAAGTTTGGGATCTGAAAACAAACTTTCTGGTTTCTCTCTAACCAGCAAAAAACCTCTCTCCTTGCCAACAACTGAGAAAAGGGAGGTGAAGCTGTTTACACGAGCCCAACTCATCCCCTGTCCAGCTGCTTGTGTTTTACATGTCTCAAGCTTCATCTCATGTCCTTTCATACAAGCGTCAATTGGCTCTTATCAGACCGTACATAAGTGTAAGGTGGAAATGGTTACTTAAGATTGAATAAGAGGGTTGTCTTTAAATTAGGTTCTTATGCATATTATGACAAGGACAGAGTATTCAACTTGACCACTTAAGTTAGGGTGCATAAGTCAGCATTTTTGTGTTCAAATTGGTTATTGGGCACTCGGGTTTTAGGAACCTTAGTGCTGATTTGTGCACTTGGTATAGAGTTGAGTACCCTAACTTATGTGTCCATTTTGAAAATTAGGCTCCTGTACTGAGGTTTTTCAGTTTCCAGCTTGGTTCTCAGACAGAGGAAGGCTATTTGGCTCACTGATTCTGGTGTATCACTAAATGTACTAGTATCAGTAGGGTGTGAGGCAGTAATTGGCTTTAATTTCCTAGACCTGAAAACTGTGTTCAGTGACATTTATTTGTTGTTCTCATTAGCTTCCCATTGACCAAGGTGGCGGCGAAGGAAAGGCCATGTACATCGACACAGAGGGTACCTTCCGCCCAGAACGTCTGCTTGCAGTGGCTGAAAGGTCTGTACTTATGGTTAGAAATTCACTGGCTCTAGTTAAAACAAATGCATGCATTGCCTCATCAGTAAGTTGTCCAGTGATCACATTGTACATCAACTTGACTCCTTATATATACTTCAGTGGAAGCTGCATGTTCCTACAAGATCTTCCCACATTACAGCTGTCCACCTATATAGAAGTTTGAAACAGTATGCATACATTGCCTTTTGGCAAACACATTTTGTGACACAAGTTCTCCAACTTTATTGAACAGCAAGAATAACTAGCCTTTATTACAGCTGATGACACTAATTTACTTTTTAATAGCTGTTCCTTGTAAACCCAGTTCTGCCTAAAGTGCTGTACATTCAAAAGATTTCATTTTGAGCTTAGCCTACAAATATTACTGTAGAAACAATAGAGGATCCCATGTGTAAACCTCTTCACGATATCTATTAGAACTAGGTTCTTGTCAGAAAAGGTGGGCCAACATTCACAATCTCTGAAACGCTGTAAAATCTATTGTCCCTTCTTCAAAACTGCAGCTGGGTCACCGTTGACCTCCATTTCAAAGGATTCTAAAATGCTTTACAAACTTGTATATATGCCACAACTCTGATTATTTTTGGGAAGGCACCAAAAATCTTGTCCCTGCAAGGATCCTTAGCAGTGTATAAAGCCTGAGTTGCTGGTTCCACTGATTAGAGACAGCCAAGTAGTTCTACTTCTGTGGAGCTTTAGAGCTCTGCAGGATTAAGCACAGTGTCTTTGGTACTTTACACGTGACTGTTTAAATGAAACATTGGGGTATATCTGAACGTCACTTAGTCTGGATTCAAGTACATCATTTGACTATAGCATTCCCACTGGACTACTGCAACTTTAACAGAGTAAAGCCATGTCAGAGGTTAGGACAGGAAGTGAAGATTTTATAGGCAACTGAAATGGCAGAAGAATTTTAGGGAAGCAGAATGTAACTCCCCGGTTTGAAATTTGGCTGTAAATCTGAGGCTAACACTTCTAGTACTGTAATAATTAACAGATCTAGTTAACTCATTCATGTTGTGAGTGACTAGAATCACAGCACTAGACCAGAGGGATCAGCAGCATTAATTAACCAAAACACCCTGCCAGCTGGACTTCCCAATAAAATGAACATTGTGTTTCTGGCCTGCAGCCTGTTGCATCATGCAGAAAGACTGGTTTGATTTGGATACAATGGTTAAGATGTTCTGCAGAGCTCTAACAGTAAAAGTATTCAGCTGGCTTCCTGCTTTCCTCTGGCTAACCTGCTTCGGGTTTGTGGTTTGTCAGAATGCTGTCTGCTTTTGGAAAAAACCTGCCCTGCACCAATTTCCTGTCTTTAAAAAAAATCCCTTTACTTGTTTCCTCCTGGAGTAACTAGTACACACACAGGCAAAGTTTATCAATCTGTAAGTGATTGTGCCCTCTCAATCCACCCAACGGTGTTTCCTTCTAGAGGCCCTGGCTGTCATTAGAGACTTCCTCAGCACTATACCCTTCTCATTCCTCAGCACATTTCTTCTGGGGGTGGTGGTCTGTGCCAAGACCCCACATGAGCTGTATTATGGGGAAAGCCACAGCTGCTTCACTTGCTTTGGATGACTTCATAGCATGATCTATATTGTAAAATCGCACAGCACAGCTACCAGTCTATATGCAACATACACTCAGGGTCCATAGGCCTTTCCATGACTATATTTGGTAAACCCAAATATGCTGCATGGCAACAAACTGGTACAACTACCAGCTTGTGGGCCAACACACTTGTCTTTGTGGAAGGAAGTACTTAACCAGCTGTTCTCTAAATTTTAAGGGACCTCTGGGTCATTATCAATATGCCCAATGGCAAGAAATCAGTCATAAAGGTGGCTCCAACCTTTAATAATGGAGCAGTGACTGAAGAATTGCAGATAGAGGATTGTTTATTACTCTTTACATAAATCTCTTGAATTTATAATAAAATAAAATTCAAATTAGTTCATGAATCTTTTTTCAGTCTTGTAATGTTTTATTGGCGTATCACACTGCCTTTAGTGTATTCCATTGCAGGATGGTAATTTGTGTGTTTTCATTCTCTTGTTCTCAAGTTTGTTTTGCGGAGGTGTCCTGGATGGTGGTGGGTGGCTGCTGTTTCTAGGCAGTAAGATCCTGTGAGTTCAATGGGGAGATCACCTTTATTTTCAAATTTTCAAGTTAATTGCTCTTTTTATCACCAGTTTTTATTTACCTATAAGAATATCTCTACCTACCTACCTACCTGTAGGGTCAGTTTAATCTAGCCTTCAGGTGCACCTGCTAGTTAACTGTTGTAGGCAAAGTTGCAGAACCTCCCAAGTTGTTCCCATCTGATTTGTTTCTCTAGGTATGGCTTATCTGGCAGTGATGTCCTTGATCATGTGGCATATGCTCGAGCATTTAACACAGACCATCAGACCCAGCTCCTGTATCAGGCATCTGCTATGATGGTTGAATCAAGGTAACAAAACTGACAAACAGAAATAACTTGTGCACTCTTAAATGACAATACTGTAAAGTTACCCAAAATGAAGGACAAGTGTGTAGATTGCATAATTGCAAAACAGATACTAAAAATTAAGTTTTCATCAAATACTTTAAAACATATCTACACTCTATAATACCTGTCATGAGACCAGTCTTGATTCTTTTCAGAAGAGACAATGGGTCATCCTGCTAAAAGAGGGATCCAGCCAATGAGCCTCATGTGAAACTGCAAATATTTGTAAATACGAGATGTTCCGTAACTGCTGGTGAAATTTTGGGTGATTCTGACTCATGCTGTGGTAGGTTGGAGAGTAGTATTTTACAAAGAATAGGTGCCAGCAATAGATGCAGTTCAGTTCACATTAATTTTTAGGAAAGGGGAAATTGAATTCAAATGTTGAGTGTTAAAGAACTGTGATATAATCAGAGGGCTGTGATGGATTTAATTTAGTTTAGAATTAAAATTAGTAGTTGAACTGGAGAGAAGAGTAAACTGATGATGTAGGTATCTGCCCGGCCCCTGAGCTCCCGGCCAGGGAGGCTAGCCCCCGGCCCCCTCCCCTGCTGTCCTCCCTCCCCTGAAGCCTCAGCTCACTGTGCTGCCAGGCAGCTCAGCACCGGCATACCCCCCGCAGGGGAGAGCAGGGAGGGAGGCTCACCCCCAGCCTCAGGGGGCAGGCGGGAGGTGCGGGAGGCAGGAACACAGCAAACGTAGCCGGAGGACTCAGGAGGAGCACCGCGTGGCCGCGCAGCCGGCTGGAGAGAAGCGGCCCTTTAAAGGGGAAACTGCTGCTTCTCTCCAGCTGCGCGGCTGCCCCTGCTCCTCCTGAGTCCTCCGCCTATGTTCGCAGGGCCACATTCCGAAAGGGGCTGGGGGAGGGGAGGGTTGAATGGGGGTGGGGTCTCAGGGGGGTGGTTAGGGGCCAGGGGGTCCCAGGAGGGGGCGGTCAGGGGACGGGGGGGTTAGATAGGGGGTGGGAGTCCTGGGGGGCCTGTCGGGGGCAGGGATGTGGATAGGGGTCAGGGGGGCAGTCAGGGAACTGGGAGCAGGGGGGTTGAATGGGGGGGTAGGGTTCCGGGGGGCGGTTAGGGGCAGGAAGTGGAAGGGAGTGGGGGCCAGGCTGTTTGGGGAGGCACAGCCTATTAGCCCATACTATTTCGCAACCCCGATGTGGCCCTCGGACCAAAAAGTTTGCCCACCCCTGATCTAGAAACTGTTCATTAAAGGCTTGATCTTCCAAGGTGCTGATCACTCTGAGCTGATGAATCAAAGCATTAAAGCACATGCTTACAAGTTCTGATACATGTGAGTAGCCCCACTGAAGTTGATGGGCTACTTACATCCCTGAGTAGTTCGCTGAAACAGATCAGAGTGCCAAGCACCCTGTAGAATTGAGCCCTACTGTTGTGGAGACTCCATCCTGCTCCAGAACCTTCAAACTTTGACTAACTGTAGCGCTAGTTGTCATAGTTCCTAAACTACTGCAGCCTCTTCATGCACCATAGCAAAGGACTGAGTGGGACATGCTAGGCGCACGGTGCTATGGGTACTGATGTTCAGTAAGCGGTGGGTTGGTGAGTTCAGCCCCATTTGAAAATGTATTTGGGTTGGTACCAGCTGTGTTCTCCTCCCTAGAAAACCTGACCATTCTTGAGGAAACCTGACCCGTAGAGTGTGCACTAAGCCACATCTACCCTGAGAACATAAAAATGGCCATACAGGGTCAGTGCCAGTCCTCTCTCATACTCTTGAAACAACTGAGGAGAGGGGTAGGAGAGAAGAGTTTAGCACCATCTTAATTATGGGGAAATGGGTATGGCCTTTAGATCATTACGCATTGTATAACTATTGTATTACGGAGGTGTCTTTTAAAAAATATCGTTCCTGATAGTTGGAAGGCCAGTTATGTTGATTTATTATTTTGTTTCAGTAAATGCCTGCAATGTGCTGGACATTGTACAAAGACAAATGAAGGTTCCTGCCCTGAAATGCTTATGAGAGCCAGACAGGCACTGAAAGTAATACATATGCCATGTTCTCTAGGTATGCATTGCTGATAGTGGACAGCGCCACCGCCCTATACAGGACTGATTACTCTGGCAGGGGTGAGCTGTCGGCCAGGCAGATGCATTTGGCCAGATTTTTGCGTATGCTGCTTCGACTTGCAGATGAGGTAAACTGTCAGTGGACTGTCTCCTTCATTCCCCATATTATTTCATTCTCTGAGTAACCACTTTCTGCAACATTTCCTTTTCCTGGAGTTTGCTTCATACACAGGATTTTCCACATATTCGTACATCTCCCAATATCAGTCTGGGGGAGGAGAGTTGACTGGACCTCACTAGCTCTAGAATGGGAAAGTAGTGCCTACAGAGGAGCTCTGTTTACCAGGGAGTTTGGCTTTTACTAGCTCTATCTGTGAAAAAGAAACGAAACTTGATTTTGTGCCTCTTTCCTAATAGTTTGGTGTGGCAGTTGTGATCACTAACCAGGTGGTAGCACAGGTAGATGGAGCTGCCATGTTTTCTGCAGATCCCAAAAAGCCTATTGGAGGGAACATCATAGCACATGCCTCAACCACAAGGTAAGACCACATTCCTAAATTCCATTAATGTTATTCTTCAAAGTCTTCATGAAGCCATTATTAACTAGACACCTAAATGTTTCTGATTTTTTTTGAATGGAGTCTGTCAGTCAATAGCTTTTCTGATCTTTTTTCAAAAACTTAAGGGCATCTTTGATCACTGAACGGTGACTTTTATTTCCAATTAATGTGGTGAAATTAGGGTAGCTTTATGCTACCAGAAATGTAATGTTGACTTACTGAAAGCCAACAGTATTTGAATAAATTGCTTTGTTTTTCTCTTTGTCAGGCTCTATCTAAGAAAAGGCCGAGGTGAAACCAGAATATGCAAAATTTATGACTCTCCTTGCCTTCCTGAGGCTGAAGCTATGTTTGCTATTAATGCTGATGGAGTGGGAGATGCTAAAGACTGAGGAGCCCATTCCATTTCACTAGTAACAACATGAGGCTGTTAACCAAAGGAGGCTGCCTTCTCTTTATGGCCAACTTTTACTGATGCTCTCCTAGTGCAGCCACTGGAAAGGCTGCCTGAAGAATCTGTCACATTTGTGTGACTACACAGATATGTTTGGGACACATCACGGGCAACTAATCCTGGTTGGAGGAGTTTTTCTCTTGGGGCTATAGTTGCATGTTAATCTAACATGGTTTCTTTAGAACACCCGAGAGGGTCATAGTTTCCATTGCCATAATTCCCCTGACAACTGTTGCTACAATTGGATGCGTCCAATGGAAGTAGCACAGTAGTATTACTGCAGTTGGTAATTTGTAACATTTTTTTGTGTGGATTCTATGCAAGGTTATTGGGTTTGTCAAATGGGAGAAGTGATAACTTAAACATTTTCCCAGTTATTCTAATGATTCAGAAATAAAACAGACTGGTGTTACTAGATACAGATACAAGAATAACCGCTGCATTGTGTATCTCCAATGAAGATCACAACATACTAATTCCATTCTTTTGGCTGTTGAAAACATCCTCTGTTTTTGAATTTGCATTTGTGTGGATTTCTTTTCTATCTCAATAGCACTGAATGAGAATCTGTTTTTAATAAAGGAGTCATGAAATATTGGTTATATCAGTGGTTTCTGGGATTCAGACAGCCACCAGTTCAGACTACTGCGTTTTGTGCTGAGCCAATGAGTAGAAAGTACATTAGTCTGCACTGGTGCCGCTGATTCCCAGAACCTGAATTACTAGCTACAACTTTTTCTTTGTAGGTTCCTTTGCACAGCCAAAGCTAAGCACACTGTAACTCTGTGCGATAAGTAGCTTGTAGACCCCCTTTGGGAGTACTTTTGAGATTAGATCTTAGCCATGTAAATAATCCTTTTACACAAGGGGTAATTGTGATTTAGGATTGATTAAAGTTAGTCATAACGGTAATGCCTGGCAGTGAAAATGGTGTCTCCTTGTTTCATTCTTTGTCCATACCTGCTTCACAACTGTTTCTGGGGAATGGAAGGGAGGAAAACATATAATTGAGTCTAACTGTGACTATTAAACTAAACTGTGTACTATCTTAATGATCAAATACTTCCCTTCAGTAACATTAAGATGCTTTTATCCTGTAAATTCCTGTCTCTTTGTACTGATGGCAGAAAACTGTCCCCCTTCCTTTTCCTTCATATAGAGAGGGCCATATCAACTGCTGTACTGATTCCATTCAAAACAACAGCTATTCACTAGGACTGGCTTCAATGGAATTAACGTATTGTAAGAACCAACACCTATAATGAAAATGGGTTGATCCAGGCTAAGTAGTAATAGCAGTAATACTGAAACTACTCTAAGTTTGGTGCCTTTCAGTGAAAAAGAGACTCAGCACTTTAGCATACACACACTATAGGTAGGGCTGGTAGCTCCTCCTATTATTTGACTGACATTTTCAGTTTATCATTTTGCCAGATTTTAACTATCGGGGCTGACATTTTTCCAGGCTGGGTGTCGTCTTTCAGCTGAATTGTTTTTGTAAAATTTCAGCCAAGAGCGTTTGGATATTTTCAGAAATAAGGCTAGAGAAAAATACTCTGTTCTGCCCTTTTCTTTGAGAGGCTCTATCTCAGATCCTTTAGACAGGGCCTTGAAATATGGCAGAGAGCTAGCTTTTGGGTCAAGGATGTGCTTTTTTGTGATGAAGGAGACTGGCACTGAGACAGCACAGCCTACCTTAATGCAGCCATTTCTTAACTTTTGAGTGTTTGACTTTGCCGCCTTAATGTTCTTTTAACATAGTTTTTTGTATACAATATAAAGTTGCAGTCACCTCTAGTATAAAACACACCTATTGTTAAACAGCACACAATACTACACCACAACTTAGAAAATCACAAACATTATTCAGTCTGTAATTGCACACAATGTAATTAGCTCTAGTGAAATTTACCCAATAAACTGGAATTAATATTTCTCCACAAAATGCCATGAAATCTGTTTTAAATTTGATATGAAACCGACCCTCCAATGGCAGACTTACCCCTTCATATCATGCTGGATAACCAGTTCAATTCTAACTCAGAGAAATGTCACCTACTGAATTGCCAACACACTATTCTATTCTAGATAGGTTCTTATACCACATTTATCACTCTGGTATCAGTGCCTTCTAGTAAGGCATTAAGCAACATGACTAACATCTGTCATGTGTGTATCCTCTAATCCTTCCCAGGGGGAGAAGCATGTGCAGTGGAATGTCTTGTTTCAGTAGGTTTATACTGTGCGTTGCTATACATTTGTTAGAGACGGCAATGAGCCTTGCAGTTGGAACAGAAGATGGTCAGGTTTGTGATGATCCTTAGTTCCTGGTGGCATTCATTCCACAGTCTCAGACCAGCCCCCAGGAAAGCTTTATCTCCTGCAGAGATGCACATTGTTACAACAGATTTTCATTGCAGGTGTCCTACTAATTAGCAGCTAAATCTGACAGTTTAGCTTCTGAGA